ATCTTCTTGGGCGGTGTGATATCTTGAATGATATGTTTGGTGAGATCATCCTCCCAGGACCGCGCCCTGCCCTCGCTGGAGACGCGGTGCGCGTGGAGGATGCCCAACCATTTGCTAAGGCTGTTGTACGCTGTTATGCGGACTTTTCTAAAAATATTTAAAGTTTTATTATAAAGATTATTATAATTAATTTGCATAATATTTATGCATTGTCATTCATACAAAAGCATGCAAGATGTTCATTGTTTAAACCAGTGTCCAATACATGTTTTGCTCTTATGGACTTACTAATTAAATTTTATAATAATATTTGAGCCTAACCGCCAATTGGGTTAAAGAACCCTTAATTAGGAGAGCATAATATTCTTCTTAAAAAACTTCATGAGTAATTGAAGGTGTGTTTGAAATAAAATCTTATCTCCCTTTGAAACTCAAAAATATTTATTTCAATTAAACCCTAATTTGGTACTTTTGAAACGTCAATAAGTATAAAATAAATAATAGTCTATCAGTCTGTCCTTCAGTGAAGCTAGGTGGTCGTTCCAAAAAGTAGAATCGACCGAGCAAAAAATTCCATTCGTTACTCTATTAAAAAATAATATGTTTTACAATGTCTCTGATTCAAATATAAAAAAAACAATATAAAGACACGCTTGATACTGGAACAGCTTACGATAATTTCGGATGCGTTAGTAATATTATTCACCTTGAATGTTCGCTAGGATTCTCTGAACTCCACTTAAGTGTCTGCATTACAAATCTGAACACCAACCCAGAGAATGGAATGAGGTTTGACCCTAAACTGTAAGAAAACGAAACAGAATTTTATTTACAGAATAATATATATTGGAAAATAATAATGGTTCCGAAAAACAAATTAATCTCCAGCGATCTGTGGCCGACTATAAAAATGGATCTTCGAATAACAAAACTAAACTTCCGAGTAGAATATTGAACCTCCGACAAAATTACTGAGTTATCGACGTTTTAGGTTAGGTTAGGTTCAGAGTCGTGGGACGCGGTGGTTTCTTTCTGCGAGGACGTGATGTCGCAGAAACTGCGGAACGGAAGAGGGAGATCTTATTGACTTCCTTTCCCAATCGCAGACGGCGCACCGGGCGCAGGAGACGGGCCGATAACGCCCTCTTCTGGCCCTCATGAATGGATCCAGGGGCGAAGGACTTGGGGAAGTCCCCGCCCCCGATTCGATAGACCCGAGTCGAAGGCGCACGTGGGTGTCAGCGCATTTGAGGCGATGCATGTGGCTACACATTGCTATGATGCAGGAGACGAGGCCCGGACGGACGGGCCGGCACTGTAATGCGGGGCTGCGGATGAATTTGGACGTGTCCGTTACCCAGGCCAGATGTCGAAAATGGTCATTTGAATCTTATAGATAATTAGTTGTGCGACTTCTGTAATTGTTGCGCACATTTTCAAATTTGTTGCGCTTGTAGTTTTTTAATTATTTCACAAAAACATTTCCTGCTGGAGTAACATTACCCCAGCCAGACCTTTTTCTTTCCAATGGGAATATTTAAATAATTACTAGCTATAAAATTAGTTGTCTAGATGAAGTAAATCTTGTGCCTTGTTTTGTATTTGTTCTTTCATCGGTTGCGAAGTTATTCGAGATTTTGCTGGGGTAACGTTTTCGCAAGTAAGTATCCGCATAACCATTTCAAAGATCTAGCAAAATCAAAAACGTTAACGTAAATTATGACTATACTATTTCAAGATAAACAAATAATCAACTTATTTTCAAGATATATAATACTAATATCAAAAATTAACACGAACTTACCACAAAATGAGAGCATCTAAAGTCCTAAGTGCCTGTGTCTTGACAGTGCTAGCTTCCACCGCATCGGTACTGACACTGCTGGAGACACTGAGTGCTTGCACTATGACTTCTAATATCACTTGCGGTTGCACCGGCTTAGCTACTGGGTATACTTCCCTGTAAATAGTATTAGTTATTGTTATTAGCAAGCAGTCACCTGTGACTGCTGTCCACTAACTCCATTGTAGACCTTATTTCCGAAGTTTAGAGACTACTTTAGTATATATCAACATATTTAGTTCTTTAAAGTAAAACCTTGTATGACAATAAACCCTGAAGTCTAATGCTTGCCAAGTAGTCAAATATTTAATTTAATTCATTTAGCCCAGTTATGTTATGAGTCTGATATAATTTGGTGTATGAATTAGGGTAAGGTTTTACTGCCATACTACAACATTCCAGGCACTACTAAACAGAAATCAATTTTACTTGACATTTGCACTTGCAATGACTGGACTATTAAAGCAGTTTGTATTGAAATTACATAACTACATATTTTTGTTTCAAACCATAATGTAATATACTAAAACGCACTTACACCAACATCGCCTGAATGAAGACAAATACATTCCTAAGCTTATTACAAAGCACCATCTTCTTCTCCTCACTACTGGATCCGTGTGTTTTCTTTATATTCAAGATGTTTGATAATGCTACTGTCAGTGCACTGTTGCCTAAGAGTTCTACATCCTTTTTCTAAAAATGAAAACAAATGTAATTTAGATTTTATTTTTTGAAGCCACTTATCATCATCATCTTCATCAACAGCTTATAGGCTGTGAAAGGCCCACTGCTGAGCAAAGCCTCTTCCCACATGGAGAAGGGTTGAGTATTAATCACCATGCTTGCTCAATGCGGGTTGGCGATTACAAACTTATAATCAGAAATTAAGCCACGGTTTTCCTTCACTGGTGTCGAGATAATCTTAGACATATAACTCGGAAAAAGTCACATTGGTACTTGCCGTTGGTAGTTTTCGAACCCCGCATGAGAAGCATGTCTTAATGTTCTCCGGGCCACCATGACATAAAGCCATTATTAGGTGAAAAAAGCAAATTATAAATTACACACGAGGGAAAGACGCATGGAATCATAATAATATGATGTCTAAAAGGGAAGGTTGTAATAAATCATATATTTATAGTGTCACTGTAAATATCTGTAGACACGAAAATCATACCAACTCGTTTGCTACATTAAACAGGGAAACCAAGACAAAAAAATAAACACACTTTTTCTTCTATAAGAACTTATATCAGCTACATAGCAGCTAGGTAGGTAGGGTGATAAGTTTATTTTAGAGTATCCTTACCTTAACACTGTGGTTATTTTTGTAAATATTGATAGTGTTAGAAAATATAGCTTCTATCAATGTGTGAGCGCTGTTACATAGTATAGACATCTGCTCCCTCCAGCAGTTCTTTGGACTAGCCAGCTTGTCCTGTGAGGGACGAATCTGGAACAAATACAAAAGTAACTTGCTATAATATTTTCATAACATAACATAACATCACGCCTTTTATCCCCGAAGAGGTAGGCAGAGGTGCACACAGAAGTAACACCCACTTTCACTATTTATGTTACGAGTCCCATGTAATAGGGGGTGAGCCCATTGCCATATACCGGGCACATTTCCAGACTCCGTGCTACTACTGAGATTTTTTTAAAAACCCAGGAATACTTTGCCCGACCCAGGAATCGAACCTGGGACCCTTTGCCCGAGAGTCGCTCTTGCAACCACTCGGCCAACGAGGCAGTCTATTTATTTAAATATTTTCAGCACTAAAAATTGACTTGCATAAATGGCAATAGAAACACCTCCCATTCCGATTATACCTATGGGACTCATTGCAATAAGTTTTTTTAATAAGAATTTTAAGACAATTGGTGTAAATTGTATTTGAAAGATCACAATGGAAAATATTATGTAAAACTGAAAAAATGTTACAAAACATGATTGCACAAACCAGACTGTTTGTGTGTGCATAAAGCAAGCTATCACCTTCCTACTTAATACTTTATCAATGATTACTATTTTAAAAATAATTCTTTTTAAATTTATTTCTTAAGCATTGTAAACCCAAAGACAATAAGCTTACCTGTTGCAGGGCATGAGCACATTTGGCTGCGATAATAACATTGTAATAGTTACTGGATTCTAAGAAGTGAACTATGAACTTCTCAATAGTAGGCCGGTGTTGAGAACAGTATCTTGGGTATCTAAAAAAAAAAATGGATAATAAATAAAAATGTGCCTTATTTACAATCAATGTAATAGTAATTTCCGAATGACATAAAAAATGCTGTCCTATTTGTTTTTTCCTAAACTTTATTTCTTCATGCACATTAATACTAGGCCGAATTTGCTAGGGTGGGCTAGGGTGGTACGGATAAAAGATATATGATAGTATCAAATGGTAAATAAAAAATAGTGACTAGTGTTTAAAGTTGTTACTCAATAGTGATGAAATAGTCGCTAAGCCATGCTATATTATATTTTTTCGAGGTTATATTACCGGGTTAACACGTCTTCCAACACGCGCAGCCATACGTTGCTATTGTTGTCTACATGTTTAAGCAAATTCTGGATAAACGATGTTATTGCTTCTTTCACCGCATCACTATCATTTGGATCCACATTCCGTAGTTTTTGTAATATTTGACCTTAAAAGTTACAAAAATTAAAAATATCTACTTAAAACAACTTGTTACTAAATAATTTTATACATTTTATGAAATTATGATGAAAGAACTAACTCATTTTATCGTTTTAGGATTGTCGCACTTTTCACTGAATATTGATTTCACACTTATTTTAGAAATTTTAACTAATTTTTTTTGTAAACAAATCCAATCCACCACGAGTTCACGTTTTTTTTCGCGATTTGACATTTTGATATTGGCTATTTTGACTTTTCTTATATTGTCATTGTCATTACGGGCTGAGATTGCCAGCTTGCGACAAAAATGTTTCATATAGGTTGCACCATTGTTGCACAAGTTGCATAGCTGTTGTGCGACACAGTTGTAATGTTGTAAACAATCCTATAGAAACTTACACTAAATAGTGGAAATATTGATCATAATTTTTTAGATTTCGTGGCTTTTATTTGTGATTTTGGGTTTATTATTTAATATTGCAACACCACTTGCAATGACATCTCCTGGTTACGGGAAAATAACGTAATTACATTCGGCGTCAGACGTCTTGTAAACGACTGTGCACTGTGTTCAAATTAGATTTTATTGTTTCACTTGTATACATTCCGCTTTTATTACTGTGAATCATCTATTGTGAGATACAGTAACAGAACAGCCATGGCTACTTTAGAGGACAAAATTTTGGGTAACAAGTTACAAAACTATTGTAGTAGCAGTGAGGATGAAGGAGAGTCTGATGACGATAGAAGTGGCGATGAAGAAGGAGGCGAGGTTACAAAGTCTCAAGTGGCGACAAATGCTGAACCACCACCCATCAACAACTGGACTGGCCAAGCAAGTAACACTGGACCGAAGGGAGTACTTGAAGACTGGAGGAGATTCAAGCAGTTGGAAGCTGAAAATCGTGCGGAACTCGCCAAAGAACGAATTGCTTTAGCGAAGAAACTTACTCTGACCGTTAAACCTGAACGCGAAGCGGCTCAAGAAAAAAAGAAAGAAGAAATTGAAGATGAGTTGTCAGAATTAATGGATGAGGAATTTCTGCTGCAATATCAGAAGCAAAGAATGGAGGAGTTGATGAGCCAGTTGCAAAAGGTACCTAAGTTTGGTGTACTTACAACTTTGAATAGCCAAGATGAGTTCCTCAATGCTATTGATAAAGAAGACCCAAAAGTTACAGTGATCATTCACATTTACAACAGTAGCACTCGAGCTTGTGAAACTATGGATGGTTGTCTGAATATATTAGCGACTGATTACCCAACAACTAAGTTTTGTCGTATAGCAGCAGATATCACTGGCCTGAGCCGTCACTTTCGTGTGGATGGTGTGCCAGCCTTGTTAGCATACAAAGGAGGCCAGATCATCGGCAACTTTGTACAACTGGCTACGGAACTTGGTAATGACTTCTTCGCAGTTGATGTGGAACGCTTCCTCATTGAATATGGAATGCTACCAGAAAAGTAATCAACATAATTTGAAGGCTCCTCATATATAAATGTTGATAAATAAAATCTAATTTATATTGAAAAAAAAAATATTTAAAATAAATCTTGAACATTTATGAATGAGAGGGTTTAGTTTATACATTATTTATTATATAATTGAATATTGTAAGCTTAGCTGTAAGTATTTTATCATGTTACTTCTGTAGAATAACAAGTGAAATGTTTGTGTGCTTGAGGAAAAATATACATTAATGCTTATTTGTCCACCTGTTTTAATAGGATCAATATTTGTGTAATAATGGTGTCTACAATATTTATGATTAGTTTTATCCTTGAATAGGTAATGTTGTTTCCCACCTATTGTTGGATTTATCCTTGAAGGTTGTTTACGGGTTTACCTCACTGTATGATACATGTTTGCATGTTTCTCTCTGCATTAAGGGATTACACATGCTTTGTTGATCTTTTACCAACGTCATATTTCATGTCATGAATGTTTACATTTCATCATGGAAATAAGCCAAGGTATAACTAATAAATTTAAGGAAAAATTTTGTAACACTCACTTTTTAATCAATGTTTAATGTAAATTATATAGCCAAAGTATACTAAATAGATAGTGCAAGATCCTCTTACTTATTAAAATCTGTAGCATTTAATACTGGTAGCAATATTTAGAATTAGTTGTTGTTTTAGTTTGTGTAATTTTAAGATTGTGTCAGCCTTACTAGATCATAACTTCCAGCTGTGTTGTCTTGTGGGTACTAATAAGAATAATATAACTGATATTATTTTGTAATTTGTAGTATAAACATGTGCTAAAACTATCTTATAGTTCATGGGCAAAATATTATTTAATTTTATCGAGTTTTTAAGACAAAACTTGCATTTAATTTGTACTTATAAATTGTTTGTTTTTATAGCTGTTTTGTTTCTTTGGCTGCACTGTGTCAATCCGCCTGTGTTTAAAAGCGGGTGATAAATATATAAAATAAAAATAGAATACCATATAATTTTATTAAACGCGAATTGCACATATATAGTTTTTTATTAAGCTGACCCAGTTTTCTTTATACTAAAGTTGAAACGAAGTAGGTGGCGGTTTATAAAATGAATCGCAAAAGCTATTTATGAAGTGGGGCGATCGAATGTGCTGAATCGAACATTGATGTTGTTTCCAAAATTAACTTCGAATGATAATAAAGACTAAAACGCAACAGATTCTTTCAGATTGTGCGCAGTTGATACGTCGAGATACCGACCATAATTTTAACGCTCGCTGAACTGTTGTAGCAAGTTACAATCTTCTGAGGAAAACACCGTGCTTTGTTAATTGACTGTAACTAATTGCAATTTGTTACGGTGCTCAGATGAATTTTAATTATGGCTTATGTTAAAATTTATGTTATCTTTATGACTAAACAGTTAGGTATTCTACATTCGAGACTGAAGTATCGCCTCTTGAACTTCAAAGCGAATACTTTACGTAGCTGGCATTTTTTAATGCCATCTTTGCATCGTTGCTGGTGAGAAAATATGTTACCTAAGGTGTTGTAGGTATGTATCATATCTACACGTTTATGTCCATTCAACAATGGACCACCAACATACCGACGTATTGTTTGTCCTATTGTGGGCGTTAATAACGTTTAATTAATGACGCGCACGTCCGTACTTTCTCACCCTTATGACTAATAGGATTGGGAAGTGCTCAGTAACTAAAATTGCCGACATTAGCCCACGTTTCAAAGGTTTCGGTACATGAAGGGTCAAAGGTCTATAAATCAACAATAATAATATGCATCGTCTTAGTATTTCTTTTGGTGGACATAGATGCAAAAAGCAGGCTCCGTGTCGTGCGTAACTGAATATGAAAGTAAAGTATTCTTGCTGAATGCTGACTGAATCCTTGAATTTCTCAAGAATGTGAGAAATTCTTACTATTCTAGGTATTTCTTTCTTTTACTTTTCAAACGAATTAAAAAAGAATTGTTTACAAATTACAATGGCCAGTGGCCGCTATTATGATCGTAGGCCGTGGGAATGAGTCGACCGCATCGCAATTAACGGACCAACCAGCATGTGAAATGAGGGGAAATCACTCTTGATGTCGGTGGTCACTAGTGAAAACAAGGGGAAGGAGGAGGCATGACATCACACTGGCGCAGTATGGTGTTTACTAAAGATAATGATAGAGCCGCGAAACCGTACATTAGCCTTCAAAACTACTTTTAGATTAATCTTGTAGTTTAGAGTTCATTGCTCCACAAATTACATGATAAAATCAAAGGTTCAGTTAATTACTTGGAAGTTTTAACAGGTCAAAAGTCCAGGTTCTTATCTAAATTAATTTATTAATGAGACAAGAGTACCTACTACAAAAGTTATATAACTCTTATATTACTAAGAAATTGTTCTTAAATTATTATATAGTTCTCGAATTTTAATACTATTTGCAAAATGTCTTAAACATTCGATTAAAGGACCCATTATAATATTTTAATTTGTCTCAACATATTATGTATTGCTAAAACAGGCAAAACGCCTTTATATTTTTATAAAAATGTATTTAAACACTTACTTATTAAATAGTAGAAAACAGTTTTGCGACAGACTTATAATAGTCGAAAGTGTTCTATGGAAAATTTAAAAATTCTATGTTAACAAAGGTTTACGATTTCATCACTCATTTCCGTGCGCCTGCGCTTTGGGGGTTTAACTGTGGGCTCGTCGTCGTCTTCCTCGATGATCTCCATGTCACTGTCGCTGTCTTCCCGGGTCCGCGAGGTGGAGGGTCCAGGTTTCGGGTCACTGCCATTAGAGCCGTTGGCCGGCTTTTCTTCTTCTTTAGGAGCTGGCATTGGTGCGTCAGTGTCAGTGACGAGTCGCCAGGACTTCTCCTCGTCTTCCTGTTGTAGTCTGACCCTCACTTCGTAGTTTTGTAAGAAGTCATCGACTAGCAACGCACAGCCGTCGTTTAAGCCGATTTCTTCGAGTGTCTTGTCATTGTTGTGGTCAGTTTCTCCTGGCTCTGAGGACAGTACTACTAAACCTTTGCCCTCAACTGTTGCGTCAGGAGCTTGCATGTTGAGACCCTCTTTGAAAGCAGATGTGAGATCCTTCAGCGTGAGCTGCTTCAAGTTGCAAGCCAGACCGACTTCTGGTTTAGGTGCGCACACGTAACATTTTGGGTTTGGTGGAGTCAACGCTGTAAAGAAAAATAGTTGTTATGAATAAGAATGTTAAAAGAATTTTTATGGACTATCATCAAGGAACATATTAACCGTTTGAGTACCGTCATTATAGACACAATTAAAGAACAATAGGGTGCGGTCTCCGGTGTCCTGGCGGTGTTTGACAGTTTAACATTTATCTGCCTTTTTCGCTGTTTCGGCGCTTTTTTATCATTGCACTGATGCCGTATTGATTTCCTACGTAATGTGCCTGTAATATGATTTCGTAAGGGACATGGATTGCAAAGGTTTGTTTAACAGATAGTAACTTACTCTTCTCTGGTACAAACAGTTGTCCGCGGTGGTTGACTTTGGGTCGCAGGTACACACTGGTGCAGGTTTGAATGTCTCCCCTCAGCACGGCCTGTGCACGCAGCACTGCTAGCCCCGCCACTATTGCGTTGGCTGTCGCTATGGCGGGGATTATGTTGCCGGCCATTGCTGTTAAAAAAATTATTGTTAAATATATTTCTATATTTTTTAAGTATTAAACACTATTATTAAAACCTTCAGCATATAATAGCAGTATAATAATCTGTCACATGGGACAAATCTGGTGAACAATGGTTGTTGTAATTACTATGTAAACCTGTACCACTCCCTTGCTATGGGAAAAATGGTGTAATGTAAGATTAGTTGCTTACAACTTTGAAGCTAGACTATTATAACCAGAATGCATACAATTTTATCTTATTTTATCAATTTTGCCTGATGCAGAAAGCAGTACTTCTGGGCACGGCATGTATTGTCCGGAAAATCTTTTCTCTGGAGCCCTGACCATCAATAGCTTGGATTTCTCCCATTACTGGTGGGCTACTGCTTTTTATATTCTTAAATGTTTTTTTTATATAATCAAATATTTAAAAATCATATAAGTCAAGTATAGAAATAAACAAAGGAAATGATAATTGATGTTTCAAAAGTAAGTCTAATTATGATTTAATTGAAATAAATGCTCTTGAGTTGAATTGAGTTGAACAACCATGATATTTAGTGTTGATAAAATACACTACGGAAGGCTGACTAGCCATTACTGAAGGTCTACATCAGAAATGTTTTTGGTTACCCATTTTACTGATTGTGAGGACATTAGAATGCTATACAATACTTACATTTGATCTCAAACCTAGACTTGAGTGGTATATTGAAGATGTGAGCACGAATATTAGCACAAGCTGTGACAAAGTCCATGGCACTCTTCTCATCTTTGTCCCACACCAAGTGGTCTCCCTCCGGACGACTCTTCAGGTCCTTCTGTAGGGCATCACAGCTGGCTGCAAACACCTGTAAATTAAAATTTCGTTATCTATACTCTATACTAATATTATAAAGAGGAAAGATTTGTATTTTTGTATGTTTGTAATTAATAAACTCAAAAACTACTGGGCCGATTGCAATAATTTTTTCACCATTAGAAAGCTGCATTATTCAGAAGTAACATAGACTATATAATATCACGCTAGGTCCTATAGTTGTGGAGCAGTAACCAAAAATGTTTTAAAAACGGGGGAAAAGTATCGTTTCTGAGGCCTTCCGTGGCGTGCGCTGAGCATATAGTTAAAGTTATACAAAAATGCTCTATAGATGAATTGTTCATCTTAACATTATTTTTAAAAAAGTCCGCGAGAGCATATGTCTACCTTTTATAGTTTACTCATAACAATCGTTTTAATGAATGGTTCAATCCTTATAATAGGTAGGTTCCTATTTAAGAAGAAAATAATTAATTAAATAAATGATTATTTCATTTAATGAAGTCCGGAAAAATATTTTCAAAAGATAAATACTTCCTAAATAAAAAAAACTGAGAATAAATATAAATAAAACGTAAAACTATGTAAAAAATCTTAAGTCCCCCCGTGCGAAGCCGGGACGGGCCGCTAGTTAATTAATAAAAAGAAATCATGGAAAAATACAAATAAGCATTTAAATATTGGTAAAAGACTATTAACATTGTAGTGTTAATTATTTTTTAATGAGTTTTTCTAGTTTCAACTGACAAAGTATAAATTTTATCTTTTTAATTTGAAAGATGAACAAGTATATTTTCAAACATGTCGGTAGAGTTAGTTTAGCCCAAATGTTGAAACCTTTACCCTATGAATTAATTGGATAAGTAGTGTATAATATTAAACTGTCAAACACCAAGCGGTTACACACATTAACTCGTCGAGTACCAGTTTTGTGTCTAATGTATTATTATTACAATTGAAAGGCATGACTATACGAAGTTGAAGGGTAGTAGTGACAAAATTTTATGACACTATTAAGTATCAATTACCTGTGCACATTCATGCACTGACCAAACTCTTTGATCAGGCAATCCTGAATGTTGAGCAGGCGGGTTGTCTTTACCAGGCAGATTGTCCCACACAAGAGGAGTGGGAGGCCTGCGCTTCTTCCAGAGATTCTCCATTGACAGCAAATACCGGATATCATCACCAAAGAGTTTAGAGAATAACTTTTCGGGCTCATAGTTGGTCTCTGCAGCCCATGTTCTAGTACTCTTCCTTTCTACGTTCCCTGCGGTGTTTCCTTCTGTTGTTAATGCTGATGCGCCAGCCTCTCCAGCTGCTTCAGGGTCTGCGGTGTCAGGGCTTACATCCTGGTCGGGATCCTCTTCACCAAATAGTTGGTTAAAGAGGTGCTTTGCCCATACAATGCAGTGGATTGGTTCTGATGGTGTATTTCTAATTGTGCAACCTGGGAATGTCTTTTGTGGGGCCTTTGGCTGACATTCATAGCACTGAGTCAGGCCTTTCTTTATGAGTTCCACCTGTAAGATTACACAATAAAAAATTAGTAAATATTTAGGTGTGATTGTTTTATTGTCATTGTTTAAAATAATGGTTGAATAATGTTTGGTCTATGTCAAAGTTGGTTGTTGGTTAAGAAGTAGAATCAAGAATTGAATATTTGTAAATATCATTTTGTTATGTCTCTGACCAGTATGGACAGAAATGGGTTGGAGATGATGATAAAGTTGACCATGAAGTATTTTTACTTCTAACAATATTATATACATAGAATACATGAATTTCTTTTCAAACTGAAACATTTTAAGTACTTAATAGTCAAATTACCTGTCCAGCATAACCAGCAGTTCCAGTTTCAATTAGAGGGACATTAGCTGCGAGACACATCCTGTTGACATGGTTACGTGCGACACGGTTGTCCAGAGCATTCATCACAATCTGGAACTGCTTAAAATAGCTCACTCCGTAGTCATTGCTGGAATAACAAAACAAAATGTTACTGATTGGTGCCTCGGACAGTTGTACCATAACATTATAGTCATAGGTATCATAATGGTGTCTACAGATTTTGCATGAGTCGAATATCCTGTGTAAAAGGGTTGATACACAACTTGAGGTCGGGTAGGGTAGTATTCATTCAAAATTAGTGGTCAGTATCCTAAATCCTTAACTCGTCGAGTACCGGTTTTGCAGACACAATTATAGAACAATAGGTTGCGGTCACCGGTGACCGCTTGGTATTTGGCAGTTTAAGTGCAATACAAAAACAAGTCAATGACCTTTCGCATCCATATTTTCCATTCAACTGACACTAAAGAATGAGATTGTTTATACATGTTTAGCATTCAAAAAACTGTATAAAGCATGACTAACCTGATAACACTGTCGTGATGGGCAACAATGTTCACGTTAGGGTTAAAACTGAGCGCACTATCCTTCGCCACCTGCGCCTTCGACTTTCCAACATGTTCTTTGTGGAAAAGAAACTGACGATTCAAATTGCTTACGTCGATAGTATCAAGGTCGATCTGTAATAATAAACACATGACTAATGATTTCGCACCTCCACAATATCAATCTAAATATTCAACAAATGCAGTACATACAATCTCAATGTTTGGGAAGCCGGTTAGCACGAGATTCTTCAGTATCTCACAACCTATACCGCCGGCGCCCACCACCAATATCTTAGAATTAGCGATGGCTTCCGTCAACTTTTCGTCAAAAACACCAGCCACCCGCGCTACCATCTTGCTTTTGATAAATAAAAACACTAAAGTTATGAATTAAAACAATTATTTCCTGTTATATTTTATTACCACAACGTAAACGCTAGCGTAGCGAGGACTCATTCAACTAACTGTCAAAATTGGCGTCAGTTCCTCATGCGTTCTAAAACTAATTAAATGTGAAATCTATTGATTTTAAATAGACTTTCTGTTATATTTTATGTCGATTAATAAATTAGTATTACTAATATTAGTATTACTAATAATAATGCTTTATAAGCATCTTCATAAAAAGAATACTATAATGATTAGTTTTATGCACTTTTCGTGAAACCCAAAGAAATTCCTGTACTGTTTCCGAACGTTAACACGAACGTTTAGTTTTTGCAAATTGCAAATCGTTTCAATCAATGTTTGATCCAAGATTGATCCGTACAAAAATTAAATTCAAATATCTTAAGATTTTGGAATAAAATAGTAATACTTAAAGTCATGGTTTTAGTATTAATGTACATATTTTTATGTGGTTATGTATCCCCCCATTTTTTGGTAACAAAACTTGAATGGTTTGGGCTTGATGATCATGACGTGGATCGATCCTAAGTAGCTTCCTACTGCTTAAAAAAAAAATGGAATAATTGAGGTCGCTGGTATCGTACCTGTGACTGTGATTTCCTTCTGTATCGTGGGTGCTTTTCCAAACGTACAAGTTCACATGCACATGACACCCAGACCTGAAACAACAATTTGTGGATTAAACAAAGATTTGCTCCGTGCGGGAATCGAACCCGCTACACGTTGCACGGCAGCCGGGGTAAAGACGGTACTGATCATATCGAGTTAAAAGTCAACATGGTCCGAAGTGGGTGATTCAATCCAAATCAATAATAGTTCCAGCTGTATATTAATTAGTTTTAATATATAATAACCCATGGAAAAGAAGCCATGGTTTAGCCGTATACTTTTGTGCCGTAAGCGTAGCAAATGGTTAACATGGTTAAGGAGACCCGTTTTAACCGAAATAGAATAATTTCGTAGTATCCTTTTCAACAAGCCTTTATTGTAAGCCGCAGGCCCATACATTATCTACTTTCCTTTCGGTTGTTGTGTATTGGAAAAACGCCAAACATGTGTGTTTGAATGGTTTGATTTATTGCTAACTGGCCATTAAGTATTACGAACATATTTACGTACTTAAAAATCTCTTTTACGATACATTATTATACGATGTAGGGCGATGATCAAATAAAGTCTAAAAATGGATGTACTAACATCCATCGTCTCCTACATAAAATGCGGTTATGTAGGTAGTACCTACTGACACTTTCATTAAAATTGCTTTTAACTTTATGGAATGGCCCTAACAGCTTTATATTTATAAAATGCAATATAGTGCGGAGTGTAGAGGTAGCCGTGCTTGTTTTTATTTGAGGTAGTTACTTGGAAAGGTGGCACTGTTAATGGTTGACGACAGGGCATTTAGTACATTTGGATTGTCAATAGCAATTCCGCGACGGTTTATTGAGCTCCCTAACCAATAACTTCGGTTTTAGCGTCTGTAAAATTAAGGTTAAATGTTGTGTTCCTAATTGGAGAAAACAGGTCATTGGTTAAATATGTACTATATAAAGTTCAACGTTCTAATAAATATTTGGAGTACATGCAGGAGATTACTTTGGAACAACCTATTCAATTCTATGTAGAAGACCTAACTAAGAACATGATGAATTAATTCGGTTGTTTTCTTTATGAGACAAGCCCCCCACAACCTCCCAAAACCGCTGCAACTCCTGTAAGCCAGAATCTACAAAACATACAAACACGAAGAGACCAGAACACTGAATTCCGGTGCATCATGGACATGAATAACTGTCTTGGTTCCCGCGACGAATTACGAAATAAATCACAGGATATTTTTGTTGTCTGACGATAGTTATATGTATAGATATAAGTACCTATATGCTACATACCTAATGTATAGGTGCTCAGAATACAGAACGCCTAGAAGCAAACAGAAGTTTTGATATTAAAATCTACTAAGTTATTTAAAGTAACGGTGATATTTGAGGTAAAGAAGTAAAACGATGTCTTAAACGAACTATGTAGGTTGTACCGTCTTTACCACAAGGGCACTCAGGGCTCGTACCAGGGCCCCCAACCTAAGGGGGCCCGAAGGACTGACAATTTCTACGATGGACACTCAACCGCTGCCCGCTACACGTCACGCGGCATCCGGCTACTCCGCAACGTATAGCGGGTTCGATTCCAGGTCAAAGTCAGATAAATAATTATTGTTTGCCCAAGGATCCCAGCGTAGTCTAAGACGGGTCTATCTAAATATAGGTACCTATCTATATTTGTTTGCTTGGTCGGTGTTTGACAGTTTAATTATATCACACATTATACGTATAGAGTGACTACTTCGGTCATCAGTAGGCCGGTAAGCGGGCCCAACTGCCCGTTTCGAATTAAAATCAGTCAAAGTCAAAGTCAATATGTCTCGTTATTTAAATCCTACCTATTTCCTACACTGGTTACACCCGGTCATGTAAACAAATCTAATGGAATTCAATCTTTAAGCCGTTTAACACAGGTGTCCGTTCGGAAAATGTGCAATTCTCCAGGGCTGCCATACGACAGACAATATTGAATTTCCGTTACTAAATTCACGCTCAGCTGAGGCATGAACTGCCTTATTTTGTTTCGAAAGTTTTGTTAGTCCTTTATATCACGGGTATCCGGGTTTTGTGCAGGATCAAAGCAATTTGAGGCTCTACTCATGTGTTCGATACGAGAACGTAAACAAACAAGAGCCAGTGCCCAACCTTATTGTTGTTTTATATTGGAGTTTTTAAAACTACATTGTACAAAGGGCAGGGTGACTACGGACAGCCCTATTTTCGGATGACTGGTTTGGTCCTTCGGTTCATGTTGGTGGTTTGATCGCGGGCCTCTAATCCGATTTCATCCGTGGCCACCCAGCTTAAATTGCTATTTAGCTGAATGTTCTAAATTCGGCTAGTAGGGTTCCATGTCCCACCAATAGATTTATTTGTATACAATTTATTTGCACCATTTGCACATGTAATACGTTTGTATGTCGTGTGTTAAGTACTTTTTAGAACAAAAGTAGGTATATCCAATGTCGAAACTTGGTCGAAGTCGAAACCAAGAACGTTGGTTTGAAACGAAAAATAACGCCTGTCAAAGTCGTCAAAATGAAGTTTATCACATAGCAATTATCTGTTATTTTAAAAAGATTATTTTTACTAAGTATTTTAAACCCATAAAATAATTCATTTTCAATTCATTAAGCATTAACATAAGCAAAATTTGTTACACATTTTCAAATATCATACATTTGATTTTATTAGATTTCATTAGGTAACGATGGCTCCGAAAGTAAAGAACAAAAGACCACAAAAGATAGAGAAAAAGTCGGCATTGAAACTGGCAGGTCCACCTCCAAAGCCGAAGAAGATACCGCCTCCACCAGCTTGTTTCACTGCCGATGATATAATGAAATACAAAGAAATCTTTAGATTATATGACGAGGAACAGATTGATAAGGTAGAGTAGGTAAAGAAGTAGAATTAAGTATTTCTTGTGATAATTTGTAAGCGACGTATTTCTTGTCCTGTGCAGCAATAAAATTATCTCAAGCGGTAGCTCTTTTAGTCAAAATATCGCTTAGTATAGCAAGTCGATGTGAAAGAGTTTTGCAAATGCAACTCTCAAACAAGAGTTGGTTGGTTCAAATTTAGTTTTGGTTAGTACCTATAGTTAATTGACTTAACATGTGCACTTCTACCTACCCCATCAGGGAATGAAAAGCAGCATGTCATGTGTAGCTAGTTATCTACAAAATGTAGCCACACTCGATTACACGTGTTACCGGCTATGTTATAAAATTATTCAAATGCTCATGATATGAAAAATAGATAAGCCATTCAAAATTTGTAGAACGAATTTTCCACATCAATTAATTATTATTTGTGTGAAATATTCACGTAAATTCATAATAATATTAAATTCTGCAGGTACCTATAACACTGATACCGACAATGCTAAGGAAGATAGGATTAAATCCGAAAACAGCAGAAGTAAATCAGATGTTCGTGACGTTTCTAGAAGATGATCTTGTTGATACAGTGGAGTTTCACGAATTTCTGCAAATGATAGAAGCTAAAGTGAACTTTGGAGATGACTTCGAGATAGATGTAACTCGTGCAATTGCTGCACTAGGACATGACGATGAAGAAACAGGTTTTGTGGACTTTGAATTATTCAAGCAAGAACTTATGGAATGGGGCGAACCCCTTTTGGAGATAGAATTTATGGATTGGATTAAGTTGGCTATAAGAGATAAATCGTATAACCAACAAGATGGCAAGTTTTGCTACGGAAAGTTTGTGGAGAACTTAAATAACAGAGATATGCGATTCTTTAAGGAACCGATTAACTATTTCAAGCTTGATCAGAAGACTTTAGCTGAATTAGCCATAAAGAAGGCGCAGGCACAGAAAGAAGAGCAAGAAAGGAGAGAACTTGAGAAGAAGGCTCGAGACGAGGCTAGGAGACAGAAAATGATTGCTGATGGCTTATTACTTCCTGATGAACCGTTGCCGTCTGCTGAACCAGCTACCAAGGCTGCTACATCAGTTACCGCAGTTGCCACGTCAGCGATCAAGGCTGCTACATCATCAACCACGACTGCTGCCGCCGACAAAGCAGAGCCAAAGGAAACCTAGTAATCAAAAACTTTCACCTTAATCATTTTAATTCTCTACTGTGATTTTATTTGTTCCATTTTTGATGACATGTTTACTGTAATAGTTATGATATTGTAGTATTACTCATTTAGATTTAAATATCTGTAATAGACGATTTTCTGATTATATACTAAATTTTCATTTTTACTTCTAATCATTTTGTCGTGTGATAACGAGAAAAACTGAGTTTTTATTTTATTTTACTCTAAAAGGCTTCATGCACACACTAATGTACAAGGTGGGCTTAATGGCTAGGGCATTCTCCTCCAGCCAGACCTTTGGGTGATGCAGAGACAAAATCAATAGTCGATGCAAGAAGCAAGCGTATATAAGAACAATGACCAAAAGATAGTTTTTGTAACGTAGGAAGATAATTATGAAACACATCATTATCAGCATCATTTCCTCGCTTCCGTACTATGTTCAGCTCTACACGTCTGGCCACCGCGGCATTGCCTTTTGGATGTTACCACGCACAAACTCCAAAATATTAAACTAAATGTAGGGGTTGTAAGCGCCTACACTTGGATGATAGTTGATAGGTTGACTGCTTCTCGTTGATATAGACACGATGATCGCGTACAAACTTCTGTGACGAGAGTATATTGATACTTATTGATATAAAATGATAAAGTGCAATTATATAAAATGCTAATAATACAGTTTAAATAGTCGTACAAAAGTGCTGACGCGCGCTGCGACAGGAATTATGTATATAAAACAAAATTAAACCTGTACAGTTGTCTGTACACTAAAAATTTACGATAAATATTTAACCATCCCAGACAAGATCTCCACGGCCTCTTAAGTAAACTTGTAAAATAAAACTAGCCGTAAAAATACGAGCGAAGCGAAACTTAGAGGGTAACTAATATAAGTTACTTGCAGTTTTTAATTGGACTTTCTTTCAAATGAGAGTTCAGTTAAAAACAGTTGAAATGGTTCTGCCTGTTAACAATATTTTTTTATTAACTAAAAATCGCGGGTTGCTCACGTGAATATAGGTACTGAGAACAGCTCTACTATATAGTTTGGAACTTTGGAGCCACAGAGGGATTCTTACTCATGGGCAGCGTGCGCGGTCGCGGCGGTGTCTCGCAGCCTACTCAGTATATTCACGTGAGTAACCCGCGATTTTTAGTTAATTTAGTATGTCTCACGATAGTTATTATGAAGATATTTTTCAAGTTGAATTGGGATTGTTTGGCATGCAGTTTATATATAACTTTTTAATCTAAATTAGTGTCATTATAAAAGTTAATTATTAATGTACCTATTAGACATGTATATGATCATGTTTCCGAGTTAAATCTGGGCATATTGTTGTTCTAGATTGTGCAATATGTCATTGTGTGGTTTAACCTTCGATCAACAATAACAACTAGATAAAGGGTTACGTACAAAATCAAGCTCCAGTTCTGTCCGCGTTAATAATAATAGTAAAAAATAACAAACAGAGAAAAATGATTTAAAATAGTTTTTAAGTTCAACCTAATGACAACCATGGCACCTAAAAATATAGTCATAAATCGTCAAAATATTATCTAATACTTACGACCATTTGTCACATAAGACGAGAAAAGTATTTTCTTACTCCTGTCATGTAGAAATTAAAAGACATAAGTTATACACTATCTAGTTTGAATTCAACTTTAACCTTGAACAAATAAAGATAATTTTTCCATTATTGTCTTGCGATCTATATCGTTTTGTTTTGTTTCGTTTTGCTTCTTCAAATTTCGAATTTCGCTATAGGAGGTATGTATGGAGTCGCGTTGGACACTAAAATAATTTTATAATATGTAAATTAAGATTTCGGGATCTTAGTATACATCACTTATTTTTATTATCGGTACGTTTTTGTGTATGATATGTTTATTTACTTTATCATTAAAAGTCTAAGTCTAAGTCAAAATCATTTATTTCAGTTAGACCAGGAAGGCACTTTTGAACGTCAACAATATAAATTTAAAAGTGAAGCTATTTTCTCATTATGAGGTGTAGATTCCTATGGAGAAGAACGAGCAATAAACTCCATAGGTTAGATACTCTTTTCCAATCAGGTTACAATACAATTTTATTTTACAATACAAATGGACTCCATGCATCCACTGTTCTGTTTAAACAAATGTTTGTGCGCGTGTTGGCGAGGCTTGGCCAAGTATCGCCAACACACGCACAAACATTGGTGGCGTTGGTTGATAATTGGTAATTTTATCTAATTTGATATTATTTCCTAGTTAAAAAGCTTAAAATATAACTTATACTTTATGTACTTATCAAAAGTAAGACACTCCGGGCGTTACACTGCTTTTTCGGTCATTATTTTTGCAACTTGCAATTACTCACTGCGGCATCGTGAGACGTGAGTACGTTGGCCGTGTTTGGAGCATACTAAACAAAATAAGAGCTCACTTCTCAAGTGAGCTCTTATTTGTCGAGACGATTTTCTTGCGCCAACCCGATATCTAGTTGTTATTGTTGATCGAAGGGTTTAACGCACGAACGACAGAGCATACAGTCATAAACTACGTTTTAAACAAGACCATATTGGTAAGGCAAAAATGGTTTAAGAATCTTAAATAGCTGAATGAGTAGACTGCCTCGTTGGCCGAGTGGTCGCAAGTGCGACTGCCGGGCAAGGAGTCTCGGGTTCGATTCCCGGGTCGGGTAAAGTATTATTGGGTTTTTAAAAATTCTCTTTAGTGGCACGGAGGCTGGATTTTTGCTCGGTATATGGCAATAGGCTCACCCTCTATTACATGGGACTCATAACATAAATAGTGAAAAGTGGGTGTTAATTGTACAGTCGCATTAAGTTACGTAATGTGCACCTCTGCCTACCTCTTCGGGGATAAAAAGGCGTGATGTTATGTTATGAGTAGCTCTGGTAAGTCCTTCTTCTTCTTAATTTACTTGACACTTGACATAAAAGTGCAATTTCTTTAATTCAATAAGGAACTCTGAAAGTTGTCTAGGGGCATTCATATTCATGTATTCATTTAGTAGGTCGTAGGTAGCATCTCTGCATAATTTCTGCCTTGCAAAGAAATGGCGCGCGTGAAATGGACAAGATTTTCCGCTCGACACTAACTTTATGACAAAAATATGATTATAACTTGTAGTGACTTTAATGTAATGTGCTATCTTAATATTATTTCTACTAGTATTTCAACACTAATATTATTAAGGAGAAAAGGTTTTTTTTAAGGGGCGAAAATCATCGAATGACTTCTCCCGCCTGGATGAGGCGGGAGGGAGTGTCATACTCTTATACTGACTGAAAAGTAAAAACCACCCCGTTCCTACTCCTGCACTTCGAGCCGGAGCCCCGATAATCCGTTAGGTTCTCCGCGACTCTGTATCGGCATCAGCCCTATTGGGCCCCATCCGTGGTGGTCTTAGGTTAGATTTATTGTTTGTTTGTTTGTGACAATATTTTAAGTAATAAGTTTTAGTATCTGTACATTAAGAAGCCAGTGCTATCTTTCAGCTTAAGCTGGAACATCCAATCCGACAGACAAGAGCGGAGATTGTGACAACTTTTTGTAGAGAAAGCTAAGCCCATAGTTAGCCAGTAAGTGTGAGAGAGCTATGCTTCGGCACGAATGAGCTGGCTCGACCGGAGTGATACCACGGCCTCACAGAAAACCGACGTGAAGCAACGCTTGCGTTGTGTTTCGTCGTGTGAGTGAGGTTACCGGAGGCCCAATTTCCCTCCCCTTCCCCAATCTCTTCAATCCCTGAATCCCAACCGATCCTCAAACTCCTAATCCCCAAAAGGCCGGTAACGCACTTGTAACGCCCCTGGTGTTCCAGGTGTCCATGGGCGACGCCGATTGCTTACCATCAGGTGATCCGTCTGCTCGTTTACCAGCTTATTCCATAAAAAAAGCATGGAATTAAGATGCATCGAACTTGGCTATAACATCATTTTGTGTCCTTTTAGACTGTCTGTTAGATTTTCGTTCCCAAGCGTTGCAGGGGTTGACAAATTGGTGAATCAACTATTCTCAATTTTAAACCAAATTAAAAAAAGTAAAGATATTTATTCGACACATGCATGTTCATAATATTAAATTCCGTATTTCCTTTGTTCGTTAAATATTACATGGTGCTATTTACAATTAAATACATCGGTGGAACGACTAACGTACAATGCCAAGTTGCACTTTGCAGAGATCCATTTGTAAAATTGCACTGCAGTAATTTAACTAAGTAAGCTTTTGTAACTTTGTAACGTAGTATCAGTATTATTCAAAATTAAAAATAAAATGCATTCGCTACATTCCACGGAACATTTGTATTTAGAGAGGAAGTCAGTAGAACTAAATTCGCTTGACTGTTGGATTGTAAATGTTAAAGTTATAGCTTTAAATATTAGGTAGGTACGTAACGTATGTATTTTTTGTATGCGAAAAGTCGGTAAACGAGCAGACGGATCACCTGATGATAAGCAATCGGCGTCGCCCTTGGACACCTGGAACTTCAGAGGCGTTACAAGTGCGTTACCGGCTTTTTGGGGATTAGGAGTTTGAGGATCGTTGGGGATTCAAGAATTGGGGATATTGGGGAAGGGGAGGGTAATTGAGCCTCCGGTAACCTCACTCACACGACGAAACACAACGCAAGCGTTGCTTCACGTCGGTTTTCTGTGAGGCCGTGGTATCACTCGTGCCGAAGAATGGCTCTTCCACATTTAAAATATACGTATTACGTATGTTATATGCACCGCTACTCCAAAGTGGTATTAATATGTGTGTCTTTACCATTTACGGTCCCAATCATTTGGGAAGCGTACGAGGGGCCGAAGCCAACTGCACAGAGGCCCTTTAGACAACTTTAATCTAAATGTAATAGACACACAAACCGGCGACTATCCCTGTATGCACTATGGAAATGCACCCAAGGGCAGTCCCCGGTTAGTGTAGAACTATTGTGGATAATGGAAGAAAAAAGGTAGGACTATAGAGGTAGATGTGTTGCTGTGGACTGGTAAATTGGGAGCTGTGGATAACTGTGGCACCTGCCGAAATGATAATTAATACACGTAAATCAAAATTGCAACA